TGGGGGTGTTACAATCTTTCTCATCCTCTCCAAGTACAAAGAAAAGTTTAAAACTGTAAGAACTCTAAGCATCCTCTGAAATTTCCAAGGTATGAACAATAATATCCTCCCTCTAAGCTTCAATTCAACCCCTCCTTTGCAAGTTTTGGTTGTGGTAGCCAAACATGAGTTTAGGGGAGGTTTATGGAACCTGAGAATTCTAGTTTGTTTTTAAGAGATATGAGTTTAAGGATTTGTTTCTTGCATTATCGTAAGTTACAAAATGAGTTAACAACTCATTGTCCCTTGTCTCGATTAGTGAAATAGAAATGAGAAAGCTTTAAGGTAAGGGGCAAGGAGAAACTAGTCCTTGGGTGATTTGAGGACGTTTTCCAGTAGCTTAGCACCAAGATAACATGTTTCTAACTTGTTCATACCACATGTAGATCATTATATGTGCATAAATGATTAGTTAAGTTCATGAAGCATGTATGAGTAATTCATGGTAAATTTCACGCTTGATTTTTTAGCATGAAATGTGACTCCTTTTAACACCTAAAACCTCAAATAAGACTTAAATAACGTTTATTTGCCTTAGTAGGACGAATAGGTGAAGTTAGGCCACATTTTCGTACCCAAAATAGGGTATTTTTGGGCAGAGTATCGGTATTGGAAGAACAATACCAATATTGTTTATCGATTAGTGTAAAATGAGTGTGTTTTGGGAAGGGAGTATCGATACTTGTCCAAGGAGTATCGATATTGTTGGTTCGTTTTTTATACACATAGGGTGCTATCGATACCGGGGGCACTTAAAGGATTCCAGTAGCCATTTTTGTATTGATACTCATGAGAGTATCGATACCAAGGGTAAAGTGTCGATAATGAGGTATTTTTCAAAACATTGAAGCCATTTTTAGTATTGATACTCGAGTAATATCGATACCCTCCCATGGGAGTATCGATACTCCAATAAGAGTATCTATACCTAAGTTTTTTCCAAAACATTGAAGCTATTTTCGGTATTGATACTCAAGGCGGGTATCGACACCGAAGTCTCTTTAGTTGTATGACGAATCATTCATGATGTAATATCCGAATATAGTCTGTTACTGCATTAGGCATTTCATTTTCCAGCTAGATGTGGACGCCTCAATACTCGACGGAGTAAGTTGGTCGGGTACATATCCAATACACGTCAAATTCTAGATTGTGCCCAATGCTTGAGAGCCTATATATGGGCTAGGGATGTAAGCTTCTGATGCGTGTAAATTTTGATTCTTACCCTGATACCCTCGAGTGTTCAAGGTAGGCTAGTGTGTTGTCCCGAGATGTAGAAAATTTCTCCGACCATACCACTAGGTCTATCTTATGTTTGTTTATATACTTTTGCATACCCATGACTTTACACAACAGCATGTTCATGTAATGAATGTATGTAGTATTGCATAGTTATTATCGTAGCACTGAGCTTGTGAGCTCAGCGTTCAAAATTTATTTACGCGCGCAGGTCAATAGAGAATTGACGAGGAGCCTATTGCACATATACATTCCAGATCAGTTGTCTTCAAAGTATGACTTGAGTCTTTTAGAGAGCATGTATATATGTGGACCTTGTATTAATTCAAGTCATAACTCTGTTTTGATTTGAAACTCAATATTTGTATTTTGTACATATCGGAGCTTCCCGTATTTTGTAAACCTTAACTTATGATGTTTTATTTCATACGATGTTGAATGATTTGTTGATGCTTTACAAATGTTTTGAAGAAAATTTTTTGGTTAGCCACTTCGGTGGTCCGTGTAATGCTTTAACTGTATTATCTTCAGGTTAGACCGAATTAAGGTGTTACATAGTACCTAAACTATTATTTTTGTTCTATTTTGGTACCAAAATTTTATTTCTTTTCAAAATCATACTTAACGTTTAGTTTATATTTTATTTTGGTACCCGTTGTTAAAAACTTAATGGTGATATTAACATGTCACCGTAAGGTAATGCAATATCATCATTGGAAAAATAGAAAATATATCATGCCAGCAATTCTATTAATTTTTTAACTGTGGATACCAAATTGAAACCTAAACTAAACATGAGGTATAATTTGAAAAAAATAAAGTTTCATTGCCAAAACAGAACAAAAATAATAGTTTAGGTACTGAATATGCAGCTTACCCTAAAATTTAAGATATCCATTTATGTTGTCATGTTTTATATTATTTGCTACATCAAGCAATACTTTAATAATTTGTTTATTTTTATATTATTTGTGCTCCGACTAAATTTATATATAATGGGAGAGTGATTGAAATGAGAGGAGAGGATTGGAACACGAGACAAGTAATCTTATTCCTAATTTCTATATTATTTTTCATTGGAAAGGCAAGGGATCTTGTGATTTTTTGCCCCATATCCTTTGATTGCTCCTTTGTTTTAAAACTATGAATGGCCAAGCATCAATAATGCTATTTTATGCACTCATATAAATACAGGTGTTGTTGATTTATATTATTTGTTTTCCTTATAATATATATAATATATTCGAGAGTGAAGTCAAAAATTGTGTTAAGGGAACTGACATAAATTTATAAATTTTAGAGTTAAAACTAAATTATTTGTTGAAAGACTTAAATTGATTTATTAATTTTTGGATTAAGAGTTCATTCATTTTAAAAAATAATTAAATCTCAAAATTTTTATTCAATTATGTATTTGAATAATTACTATTATCTTTTGAAGTTGTTTTAGCCACTGATATGTACTATTTCTCTTTATATCTAGGGTTGGAGCTCCCTTACGGCCCAAGGAGCACGTCTCCTGTTAAAATTTATATATTTGATATAATTTTAGTTTAATAGTATTTTAGTTCATGTAAAAATAAATATTTTAATTTAAAAATATAAAAAAAATTTAAATATTTAATCAAGCAGGGGTCGAACTAAAGAATGATAAGTCAGTGTTCTCTAATTTTTTTGTCTAATTACAATTTAAGTCATTGTAAGTTTAAATATTAGACAATTAGAAGATGTCTTTTGAGTTTTGAGGTTTTTTTTTTTAAATTTAGGATAAATACAAGGTAATATATGTACAAAGACTTTCAACTATTTGACAATGGATGCTCATACCCCTAAATACATGCTTGAACTCTGGACCTCAAGGATAACAAAAATCCCTTAATCACTAAGGTTGTTTGGTTCATGCTGAATTTCGAGTTTAAATACCTAATAAGTCTTTATATTTTTCTTAAATAGTCTAGTATTTCTGCCCTGCTATTTAATTTTGGCTCTATCCTATTTATATCTCACCGACTATAAACCTAACAAGCATGTTCATATACCGAATTAACCTACCGAATCGAATTAGTTCGATTAATTTGGTTGGCCACATAATTAGTTCAATCGGGAAACGGTTAATACTTTTTTCAATATTTGTTTAACTATTAATTCGAATCAAAATTGGTTAATTAACCAAAATTATTAAATAATATATATTATAAATATATTTTAAGTTCAAACCCATTAAAAATTAATACCCATTATTTTTTTAATCACACTAGACTCATTAAATTACCAATACCTAATTAATTTTTAACTCAAATAAAAAATATACATCTATTATATTTAAATTAATCTAATTATAAAAAATTATAATTTTTTTTGGTCAATTCGATTAACTGGCCGAAATAATTGAACTTTATTCGGTTCGATTAATATTTTTTTAAAAAAATCAATTTTGTTAACGGTTAAAGAAACAAGTTCAATTAATTCGATTAATAATAATTCGATTCGATTGGTGACCAGATTAACCGTTTGAACATCCCTATTCGTATATTATCCGTCAGGCTTCCTATGAAAGATAATTAGATAAGAGATATTTTTACTGTTTGAAATTACATAGCCTCCTCCTCCTCCTCCTACTACTATTATTATTATTATTATTATTATTATTATTATTATTATTATTATTGTTATTATTATTATTAGTGACAGAGAATAAAAAAAAGGATGAAACATGTGCGCCCCGATTATCAAAGATCTTGGCCACCTGTTGCTTGGTCGACTGCCAAACCCTAATCTTCCATATTGTGCGTCAGGTTTGTTGGCCCCCAACCCTTTTGATTTGCTTGCCAATGTATTGTTTAGTAACATGGGGCTTTCAAACTCACCCAATTATATATCTCCCCCCAGTATTATATTTAAATTATATAATGTTAATGAAATATGCGATATTAAATGTTAAAAATTTAATCAATTATTCAAAATTTAATTGTCGTTTTATTATAAATTGTAAAGAGGAGTGTGTAATAATTTTCCATGTACAGATTTATACAATGAGAGTATATCAAGTAAAAAGTCTTGCAAAAATATCTCTTGTATTTGCTAAATTGTATGAAATTAAAATGCATAAATGAAAAATGTAAGATAAAGAGAATGCATCTCAATAGTTTTGGGTTTTAACAACTATATCTAGGGATGGGTATGAGACATGAATTCGACAAGTTTCGACCCGACTCGACCTGATCGGGTCGATTATTTTAAAAAAAATAGGTTTTATTCGGGTCGAGTTCGAGTTTAAGGTGAAAAATACCTGACCCGAAAAAATTATTTTTTCTTATATATTTAGGGATAATTTCAATAATACTCATATATATATTATTTTATTTCAATTAAATCCCTATTTTTATTGAATAAAAATAATAATTTTTGATAATATATTATTTTAGGTCGGGTTCAGATTTTATCTCAAAAAATATGATCGAGTTTGGGTCAAGTAGAAATGTATATTTTTCGAGTTGAGTTGAGGATTTATAATTTTTGGATTGAGTCGGATGGACAAAAAATCTGACACGACAAGATCCATGTGCATCCCTAAATACGTCTAGAGGTATATGTATATTATCAATGAATAAAAAAATTCTGAAAATATATTAAATTTTATTTTCAGAATTTTTTTAGTCTCCCGGAATATAATTTTTTTTTCATATGTCAGTGATTGCCATATGTTTTAGCTGCCTCAAATAGTCTCTACAGACACAGTCTCTCTTAGTACTAAATAACCCATATTCTCGATTTCTCTCAAAACAACCAAACAACGTCAACATCATCTCTCAAACCAAGAAGAAAAAGGGTCTTCAATGGAACCAACACAAAGCTCCCTATGGTCATCTCATTTCTACCCTGAAAAAACCCCAAACCCTGACGATGAAAGGGAGCCGATGTTCGAGAAACCCTTAACCCCCAGCGACGTCGGGAAGCTGAACCGGCTCGTTATCCCCAAGCAGCAGGCGGAGAAGTACTTTCCACTCGGAGGTGACTCGGGTGGATTGCTTATGAGTTTCGAAGACGAGTGGAGCAAGTGTTGGAGTTTCCGTTACTCGTACTGGAACAGCAGCCAGAGCTACGTGTTGACCAAAGGCTGGAGCAGATATGTCAAAGAGAATAAACTCGATGCTGGTGATATTGTTTTGTTTCAACGACACCGTCTGGATTGTAGTAGGTTGTTTATAGGGTGGAGGAGGCGCGGTGCTCCGGAGGTGGCGGCAACGGAGTATGGCGGAAAAGCCGGTGGGGATGAGCGGTGGGGATTATCTCACGTCCATCCTTATCTTGGGCACATTCAAGGCCTTGGGGCTAATGTGCCATACCAATCCGACCGTCTTCATGCAGGTATATTAAATTATTGTCATATCGTAAACTCTTATTTTTCCCCTTTATTTTTAATGAATAGATACTGATTTTTATTTTATAAATTTGGGATTATTTTTAACTTGGAACTCATTCACACATTGGAGTGTGAGAGACACATTCCAACTATATGGGAGCAATGTGCTTCTATACGGTTGTTTTCTGGAATTTGTTTTTGGATGAGTTTCTTTGAATATATATATGTATATATATATATTAATTGAATTAGAAAAAATTATTCAGAAGGGTATTGGAATATCATAGTTTATCAAATATATTTTAATTCGTTAGTTATATATTTCAATTAATTATTCAATGATATGTATAGACTTAATGATTGTATCATGATGGGTGGGATTATTGATAACATTGGAGCATGTGTTTGCTGTGTTAAATATATTTACAGGAAGCATGATTCAAAATGGAGGAGGAGGTGGTGGGAAGCCAAAGAGGCTGCTACGGCTATTCGGGGTGGACGTCGACGTTGAGTGCCACCTTGATGTCTCCGAACCATCCACGTCGGAAAGCTCATCGGTGTTGAGTCGGGGTCCGACCACCCACCTGTTTTACTCTCAGTCCTAAACTTAAAGATTGGACGGCAACTGGGTAAGCAATGCACATATTCTCATAGGCTATTTCAGTGGGGAATTTACATCTATTTGGAAACGTGCACGTCTCTGCTTTTAAATCTGATTTCTTTTTTTCAGTTAGTTATATATTGTATTTAGAGGGTCTATCCTAAAATTTTATGTTTGTGAATTCTATTAGAAAATTTTATTATATATATTCACTTTCAAACATGTTTTTAGATTCATTATCGGGCTATTTCACCATCATCAGTGAGTCACTGCTACAAGCTTAGATTAATTAATTAAGAATGTTAATAAATTAGTAAAGTCAAATATTGTGTTTGGTTAGGTGCTGCTGCTTCTAATGGGACAGATTAACAAAAGCATAATTAATGAGGTCGACTAGTTACCACGTGGCCTAATCCCAAAAGTTGCGACGTGGTTTATTTGGGTCCAACTAATTTCAAAAATCCAAGTCAAAATATTGTTGGGCTGAAATTAAAGAGATTGGCAATGATTAAAATGCCGTCCAAATAATTGAGAATCAACAAGGGGTGGTGTAGTTATAACAGTTGGGCACGTAATTCTAAAATTGCTGCAAAAATAGCTGCTCCATCAAAGGCATTGATGATTACAATGCAATTTTGTTTACATGACTTGTTCCATTTTTTAAATGATTACAGGATAAAGATGAGAAAATCACGTGATGTGATATCCACCGACTTGGAAGTTCAAAAGAGTACTGAAAATTATTTAGACAAACTGCCCTATGCAAGGGCGGTGATTTAAGCAAAATGTCCAACCAGGGGACGTTTTCGTTTTCAAGTTTACTTAACAACCAGAATGCGGTAGTGGTTAGAAATGATAGGTGGTTTATTATATCTATAAATTTTGTAAAAAATAAATTTATAAAATCATTTTAAATTTAAATTTATTTTATTTTTTTTTGTATAAAATTTAAATATTATTATTAATGATCAAATTTTAATTCAATTAATATGATTATTATTGTAGTATTTATACTCAATAAAATTTAAAAAGAAAAAAATAAACTTGAATATTTAATAAATTTACTATCTATAACATGTATTTTGAATAATGAATACTTAATTTTCTATCCAAAATACTAATGAAAATATTTAAATCAATAAAAAAATAAATTGAACATTTACAAATATCTAACGGTTCTTGAATACACCAGGCATCAACATGCTCTCCCCCTATCTTGTGTTTTTCATTTTGATGTTATCGTATTTTGACCACCTTAGTCATTCTCATTGCTAAAAAAAAAATAAAAAAAACCCAAGAATAGTAAAATACACTTTTTTTTTCAGGGGGTGCAAGCCTACCTAAGGCATTTCTCGGGCTCTGTTGGTTTACATTTGTGTTTTTATCTATTTTGTGCAATTAATGAAGAAAATGCAAAACAAGGAATACGGTGATTTAAAACAGAATATGCCAACCATCTGTTACTCTATACGAAAAGCATTGTTTCTCTTTTAAAGGCTATACAGCTATTCAGGCTGCCTCCTCCACATTTTCTTCAGAATCCACTTCGCTCATCTCCATTTCCTTTACTTTCTCAAGCTGCCTCAAGAGGTCTAAACGTTCAGATCCATATGTGGATGGTATCTGCCATGAAACAGACAGTTAGCTAGCCATTGAGAAATAGAGGTTCAACACCTGAAGCAGACATTAACAAGGAGGACACACCAGCGCCGGCACATATCTTTGAATGGCAGCCAACATGGCTGCATGCCCAACAGCAGTAACCTCAGGCATAATTTTTCCGTCACAATAAGACATAATAGATCAATGGTAAATTGAATTGTAAATAAAAGATGATAGGAAAGGTAACATTAAAAGCTGTAAGTTGTTCCAATCATGTAGAGGTATGAAACTACTAATTTTCTAATTCTCTAATAATTTAAGGCTCGCTCGACATTACTTGCCTGATATACCCAGCATGCTAGATGTTTATGCTATGAGCCTCTATTTTGGATAATGAGGGAAGGGAAAAACTTAATTTAAAGAAGCTTGTAGGTGTTAAAGATACCTTACATGAAAAAAGACTTCCATATGAAATTATAGGAGAGTATTCTCTCTAAACTTAAATTTTCAGCCCCCAACTCTTGTGGTCAAATTATTAGCAAAAGTCTTGCTTTTTTGTTTATTGATCCAAGAGTGGTGATTTATGTAGAAGTCCCATGATCGATATGAATTGTGCATGAGGAAAACAGAAATGATGGATCAGCAATGCATTGGCAGAGATAGACTTGACAGAATGATGTATTATTTTAACTTACAGGAAGAAGCATCAAAACACTAATAGGAATGACTGATGCCAAGTCGGTTAGAGTTCTCCGAAGAGCTTTCTTTTCTTTTTCCGCTAATTCATCCCCTATCAGGGACCTTCTAAGAAACTCCGTTGCAGCAGCAACATCAATGGCTAGAAGCTGAGTTCCTTGCAAGACGTCCTGTTTATTGGTAAATAACTCAGATTATGGCATCATGAGAAAACTATAGATGACTTCTTAAAGTGGTGATTGTAATTATATACACCACAATTAGTCAGACCAAGACATATTGATGAAGAGTCAAACAATCGATAGAAATCATCCAACACAATGACCTTATCAGGGGATCTTAAAAATCCAGTTCATAATTCTTCTCATGTTTCATGAAAAAGGGGAAAATTACATTAGCAAGCCAAAAGTTACTTTGCATGCTGTATAACCTACTTCCACATTATTCGTATACCCATGTCAACATGATAGTGTACAGAAAGAAGTAACCACCCTTGCTACCTACAAATAAACTAGTTGTTTTAGTATGCTGAATCATCATACGGGACCAGAACCAGAACCAGAACAGGAAACATAGCCGAAGCTTTTTTATTAAATAAGAACCAAGTATGCTTCAATGGCATCAAGAGTATACAGTTTATAAATTATCATTATATAGAAAATGAACCACATGTTGGACTTTAAACTGCAGAAAGTTCCTCTAGCCTTTAACCAATCTAATAAAGCCTTATCATGGGCAATATAGAAAAGTTTTTTCAAGGTCTATGAAAGGTTTCAATTAGTCAAATTAAATTTTAACATGAGAAAAAAATTAGTCATTGAAAATAATGACGAATTCTTTCGTCCAAAAGTTGGAAGAACGCATGTAAATCAAACTAGAGAGATCACAGAATGATAATATACAAACATTATTTGACTTATCCTCAAGAAACTCATACCGTGCTTGTTTCTTTTATCTTCTCTAATGATTTTTCAATGATACTTTCTTTCTTCTCAACCTCAACCAATGGAGCACGTCCAATGTCATCAATAGAGCTAGGACGATCAACTGTAACCTTAACATCCTGAACAAATTTGAAAACAGTAAAGCAAATTAAAAATGGAAGAATATTAAAGCCATTCTGAAAGGTTCACGGTTAATATATCATGCATCATCATGTTTCTCATTCTTTTAATGGATGCATCTTTTGTGACAAAACTACAGTTATAACTGTCAACAGATTGAGCTTACCTCCTCATATGCTGACTTATCAGCACTTCTTTTAACACGCTTCTCAAGCTCAATTAGTTCATTCCTTAATTGTTCAAACCGGTGGATTTCATTTGGTTCTGAATCGGAATTATTGGCCTTTGAAGCATTCTGCTCAATCAATTCATTTCCCTGGATGCAATAAAATTGCAAATAGCTTTCATTTACATAAAATTCACAGAGATTTCCAACACCATATTATATGCTTTAGCACCTGGAATATGTGTTATCATAATTATAGTCTTAAGAATTTTTTAACATAAGTGTATATTTGACAGTGTATCTAAGAAAGAGGTGCTAAAAAGCATGATTATTGATGATAGATTTCTTCTCAGATTCTTCACTACCCTCGAACCTTCAATCCATGATCATGTTCAACCTTCCATACAGTTAAACAACTAAAGCTTGATGTACATGTACACAGCTTTATAATATTTTAATTAACAAAACAGAAGTTGAAACCAGGCATTATTTATCTATTATTCCAACATCTCAACAGTATATCTCCAGAGTTAAAAGGTCCAGTTCTCAAGTCCTTTGGAATTAGATCTTGAGGCCCAATTACTGGTGGTGATATAGACCAACAGGAGAATAAATGGCATGCAAATCTGATACTAAAAGGACCAAATGCTACCAACAAGTGTAAAATGCTACTTGTGAGGCAGGTTATACCGATTTCTCTATAGCTGATAATCTGCACCAGGCTTCCTGGATGAAGGGTGTAAGAAGCTCCATAATCCACGATACTTATTGACAACTCTAATGAAAAAGACAAATAAAATAAAGATGCATGGTATGGTTGAACTAGCATTAACAATAAAATCCGTGAAAGCAGGTAAAAACTGTAGTGTACAGCTTAAGTTGCCACCTGTTGCTTCTATCATTTGTTAAAGATTTTGTTCTAGGATATTCTTGCTGCTCACTAAAAGAGGACTGGGAAGTATCATCACCAGCTTCCTGAATGAAAGTAATGAATGTACATAATTTCAAACTAAGCTCACAAACATTTTCTATAATGTGTAAGATGCAAAATCAAGGCATGGACTGCCACGTAAACAATGTAAAACACCCAATCACGGAAGGGGAAGCATAATTGCAATTTGAACTAAACTATTTATATTGTTGCAAAGTCAATCATGCAATTTACAAAAAAAAAAGGAAAAGCCACTCATGTAGTCTATGGTATATGTTGTGCTGATCGGCAACTAACCCCATGAAACTAATTACACTAATTTGCAAATACGCAGCAGAAAAATTTCTTTTTCATTGAAGCAAAAGGCAAAAAACTATCTTCTACATGTGGCACTGAAAAGCCAGAGCCATCTTGCCATTCTAGCATTAATTCCATAGTGAAGGCAGTACCAGAATATATGGTATTTAACAAAAATAAAATTAACAGAAAAAGTGGTAGGAGGGGTAGGAAGAAACCTGTCGAAGAAAAGCTTCTTTTGCTCTGAAAGATGCCTCCAAAAATTCAGCCTCTTTCTTTAGTTTCCTTATTTTCTCAAGGTCGGAACAAGCTGCCTGTAATTGTTCTTTCCCAGAGTAAGAACTTGAACAATGCAACTCTTGAAGCAAGTTTTCCAATCTTTTCAGAGCTTCTTCAATACTCTCTAATGCCTGAAACCAACATGATGCCACTGCATAGTTAGAATTCAACAAGTTCAAATAAGGCACATATAGACTGCGGCAAATATGAGAGCAAGAGTTCTATCCATACAAGCATATCAGAAGAGCCGCAGCAAGATAAGAACGGAGAAAGCAATTATGTCTTTGTGAGTTGATTACTTAGGCAGTTTGTGTAGGAACATACGTGTCAGAAATAGATTAAATTAGTAATGCTTTTAATAGGATTTTGTGAATATTTCTTGTAGTTACAATCCCTTGCTTTAAGGGGGTGTTTGGATCAAGGAATGTGGGATTCCCATGGGAATGGAATCTACATTCCCATGTTTGGTTGGCCGGGAATCTCATTCCCGGTAATATTTTATTACCAATAGTAGATTTTTTGGGATATATTACTGGGAACGTCATTACCCCCTTTCCTTAGATATTGTTGGATTACCGACGTTTTGGACTAAAATGCCCTTAAATTTTTTTCCTTTCAAAAATATCCTTCTTCTGTCATTGACTAATAAAAATTCTATGAAGGTTAAATTACAAATTTATCCTTAAACTATTTTAGATTTACAAAAAAATTCTATAATTAAAATTTTATATGAAGTTCATGGGTTAAAATAAAATTTTACCCTTTCATTAAACATTTTTATATTTTCAATTTTATAAAAAATATATATATAAATTTTATGAATTTAATTTTTTTTTAAAAAATATATAAATATTTTCCAACTTGATAAAAAAACAAATATATAATGACAATTTGGTCAAATATACATTCCAATAATATTTTATTCCTTTACCAAACACGGTAATCTTACATTCCTGCTAAACCAACCAAACACAAAATACAACATTCCCAGTAATCTTATTCCCTGGTAATCTTACATTTCCACTGGTAATCTTACATTCCGTGAACCAAACGCACCCTAAGGGATTATATCTTTCCCTAGAATTAATTTCTTTCCTATCTTAATGCTTACTTAGATAGAGATATAGCTTGTATATAAATATGTAACAAATCCTATTGATTAAACAGAGAACTACTATGATTTATCACATGGTATCAGATTAGGTTTCGACAATTCTAATTCCTAATTGATGGCCAATACTTCTTCCTCTGCTTCTTCCTCTTCTTCTACTGAGATTACCTCCTCCTCTTCTACTCAGTCCACCTTAGCTTCTGCCACTATTGTTTCTAATTTCACTAAGGAACAAATTGCAGATCTTCAGAGGATGTTTCGTCAATTAGCAGGGCCTCGAGCGGGTAATCTAACCATGGCTGAACCAGAAGGTAAAACTTTTCCTGCAGCCCTTCTTTCTCAACAGTTGACCCGCATTTGGGTCCTTGACTCCGGGGCTTCAGATCACATGACTAGCAACAGGACATTGTTTAAAACTTTTTCGGCTACATTTGGCAGGGCTATTAAAACTGCAGATGGTTCCTTTTCCCAGATTCATAGGCATGGTTATATCTCTCTCAATAAGAATATGCTTCTTGATAATGTCCTTTTTGTACCTAATCTTGCTTGAAACCTTATATCTGTCGGTAAACTTTCAAAGGATCTAAATTGTGCTATCAATTTTAATGAATCTGGATGTACTTTACAGGCATTGGACATGAAAAAGATGATTGGCAATGCTAGCTTGCACAATGGCCTCTATATCCTAAATGACCCTCCTTCCACTTTCGAAACACCTCATAGTTCTTTCACAGCCTTAGAAAAAAATGATATTGTTATGTTATGGCATTTTAGGTTAGGTCATCCTAGTTTTCAATATCTAGCAAAGTTATATCCTTCTCTTTTTATTAATAAAAAGTCGCATTTGTTTAAATGTCATATTTGTTCACTTGCTATACATACCAAAGCATCCTATTCACCATCTAAATATAAGCCTTCATGCCCTTTTTCTTGATCCATAGTGACATTTGGGGCCCTTCTAGAGTGAAGAATGCTAATGGCTGTAAGTGGTTCATTACATTTATCGATGACCATAGTAGGTTAACTTGGACTTATTTAATGAGAGACAAATATGAAACTTTTGTTATATTTGAGAGATTTAATACCATGGTTGACACCCAATTTCATTCCAAAATTCAAGTTTTTCATTATGATAATGGCAGTGAATTCTTTGCTACATCGTTAGGTGATTTTTTCAAAACCAAAGGCATAGTTCAAATCAGTTCCTATGTTGACACTCCACAGCAAAATGGCATTGTCAAGAGGAAAAATAGACACCTTCTTTGATGTTACCCGTTCTCTTCTCTTCACCAACAACGTTCCAACCTACTTGTGGGGAGAGGCCTTGTTAACTACCACATATTTGATAAACTGTATGCCTAGTAAGGTTTTGAATTTCCATACTCCTCAATCCATTTTCTTGGAGAGTTACCCCCACTTCAAGCTTATTTCTTCTATTTTACCTATTAAAGTCTTTGGCTGCAATGTGTTTATCCATAATTCTGCTCCTAATAGGTCCAAGTTCGATCCTAGATCCCTAAAATGCATTCTAGTAGGGTATTCTTCACTAAAGAAGGGTTATAAATGCTATCATCCACCTTCTAAACGATTTTATGTCACTATGGATCTCACATTTTTTAGCAGGACCCCTATTTTCCCAAAGCTGAAATTAAGGGGGAGACATGGAATGATTTTCAACCTTATCATCAACATCAGGTAACCTCTCCTAATTTTTCAATACCTTCAGATTTGTCACCTTCAAATCCACCTTTATTACCTAAACCTACTACCTTTCCTTCCATACCTTCATATTCTTCTACACCCACTCCTAATAATCATCCTGATACTTCCAAAACTACACCTCCTAAACAACTTTTGGTTTACACAAGAAAAAAGAAAACTATACCTGAGGCTATTCTGCAATCTGATACTTGTCGAGAGTTGGATTTAGGTCTAGCTGCTAATGTGGAAGAAGAAGGAAATGAGTACAATAAGTGCACTTCTCTAATCTTGATGATTTTCCTATTGCCATTAGAAAGGGAGTAAGACAATGCACTAAACACCCTATTCAAAAATTTACTAGTTACAGCTCTTTATTGACGTTTTTCCAAGCCTTTACAGCTAGTTTGAGTGAAGAACAAATCCCCTCAAATATTGATAAAGAATTAAAGGATCCTAAATGGAGAAGGGCTGTTGAAGAGGAAATCAGTGCACTCGAGAAAATGCTACATGAACTATAACAGACCTTCCACAAGGCAAAAAACTTGTTGGTTGTAAATGGATCTTTGCTGTGAAATATAATTCTAATGGCAGTGTACAGAGATACAAAGCAAGACTAGTGGTAAAGAATATACACAAACCTATGGGGTAGATTTTACAGAGATTTTTGCTCCAGTGGCTAAACTCAATGCAGTTCGGGTACTACTAAGTCTTGCTGTCAACCATGACTACTTGATGATAAAAATGCCTTTCTCAATGGCAAACTCGATGAGGAGGTCTATATGAAGGTACCACCTGGTTTGGAGTCTATTGAAGGAAATCAAAAATGTGCAAGCTTAATTGGTCACTATATGGGCTAAAACAGTCCCCTAGGGTCTGGTTTGAAAGGTTCACCAAAGTGATCCTAAAAAATGGTTACAGGCAGTCCCTTGCCTATCATACACTCTTCATCAAGAAAAATTCCTAGAACAAAAGAGCTATCCTAATTGTGTATGCGGATGACATAATCCTAACTGGAGATGATGATGAGGAAATTAGCAGTTTAAAAACACTCTAAACAAGGAATTTGAAACTAAAGGACTTAGGAAAGTTGAGATACTTCCTAGGTATGGAGGTTGCAAGATCTAAAGAGGGGCTCATGATCAACCAAAGAAAGTATGTTCTTGACTTACTCAATGAAGCAGGTTTTTTTAGGGTGTAAGCCAACAGATACACCAATGGAAGCCAACCTGATATTCAACAAGGAGGCAGCAAGCTCCTTAGCAGATAAAGATAGATTTCAAAGGTTAATGGGAAAGCTAATCTACTTGTCATTAACCAGGCCAGATATAACTTTTTCAGTAAATGTAATTAGTTAACACATGGCTAATACCAATGAAGAACACATGGCAACAGCTAACAGGATCCTGAAGTACTTGAAGAACTCCTGTACATGGTTTAATGTTCAAAAAGTCACAAGACAGATGTGTGAAAGTCTTTACAGACTCTAGCTAGGCAAGGGACTTAACAGAAAGGAGATCTACTAGTGGCTATTGCACATTTGTGTGAGGAAACCTTGTTACTTGGAGAAGTAAGAAACAATAGTTGTTTTGTGAAGTAGTGCTGAGGCAGACTTTAGAGCCTTGACATTGGGAATGTGTGAAGGAATCTGGATACTTAAGCTGCTAAAATAATTATACCCTGAACAAGAAGATTGTTCTGAAGTTCTTTGTGACAATCAGTCCACAATTCAGATTCGCCAAAAATCCAGTTCAACATGATAGAACAAACATGTTGAAATTGATAGGCACTTCATTTCAGAGAGAGTAAACAAAGGGATGGTTGCTCTTACATCCCTTCAGAAGGACAATTAGCAAACATGTTTACAAAGGCCTTATCAAAACATGTATTTGACAATTTTTTATCCAAGCTGGGATTATACAATGTATATTCCCCAGCTTGAGGGGGTGTAGGAAAATACGTGTCAGGAAATAGATTAAATTAGGAATGCTTTTAATAGGATTTTGTGAATATTTTGTACAATCCCTTGCTTTAAGGGATTATATCTTTCCCTAGAATTAGTTTCTTTACTATCTTAAAGTTTCCTTAGATAGATATATAGCTTGTATATAAATATGTAACAAATCCCATTGATTATAGTACAAAATAACAGAGAATTACTCTGATTTATCACAGTTTGTTATTTGTTATTTCTCTTAGTTTGTTTAGATTAGATTAACCTTGTCTCTAGTTTAAATTTCAAATGTTTTGTATAGTTGTTAGTTTTCCTAGCAGGGTAAAACTCTAGGCTGATGTCTATAAAAGACTAACTCTGTAAACTTTAATGAAATGTAGAAACACTAAAACAAACCTGTTTTTCCAGTTTCCACATGGTATCAAATAAGTTTTCGATTTCTAAAAACATATGCTAAATCCTTCAGGTATAATCGAGAAAGAAGCATCACCTAGTTATAAGGTCATGGGGAATCTGATAATCAGTGCCGACCATCATACCATCATACTGCAGTAAAGTTTATTTATTGATGGTAAAGTGAGCTTTGTAGCTACTACTATCCTATATGATTGCGATTTTCAACCTTTATGATTCTAGTGCGCGCATATATTTCTAACGATTCTTCTACTTTCAAGGACTCTTACTTTTGCTATGCATAAAACATTTTATCATTTGCTTGCTCCCTCAAAATCACATGTATTATGGAGAACAAACGATGTAATCAGCCAACAAAACAATGCAGTTCAACAACAGAATCTAGCGCACACAGAAGCCAGACAAAGAAAAAATATGGGATGTTACATTCATTCAAGAATTTTGCAAGCAAAAGCTATGACATCTTAGGTTTCATGGGAAAAAGACGGAAGCATTAACAACAGATCCGCCTAAAGCATATGAATAAAAAAATAGGCCCCGCCGAGACTTAAATGCACACCATTAGTATCAGCATAGTCAAAGAAGCTAGTTCCAAACTACATAAAATCTACTTTGGAACAACTTATTTCAAAGGAAAAAGGAGAAACCTTATCAAATGAATCTGACTCTTTCTCATTGACTAATCCAGCCCCACTAACAGGTCTAGTCTCAACCATTTTCCTTCTGCATCACATTTCCAGCAAGTATAATCACAGATTAGAAATCATTAAATATAAAGCAGTAAAGTACCACTATCAAGGGAATGCAACACTTTTATGGCATAAAACAAACAATAGTAAATGTTTTCAATATAGCAATCATGCATCTACTTGAATTCAAAAGTGCATGCAAATGTGTGAGAGAGAAAAAAAAGAGGGGGGTTCAAGAGAGAGAGAAGGAAGCAAGGAATACTAAAGTTAAGCATCCGCAACTTACGATGGCATCCTGAATTCTTTCATGCACATCATCAAATTGTTGTGCCTAAACAATAAAGATAACAACATTTTGCTCAAATCACGCAACAGAGATCAATATAAACTGGCTATCACTAGTCAACTGTAAACTCCTTTACCCTCTAGACAGGAATCTTGCAGCCTTAACACTAGAAGGATTTTCCAGCCATCTACTATATTTAATAAAGCTCTGCATCCAATGAGAACAAACATCCAACACTTCAGGAATAGCTTTAGTATTAGGTGGACCTTCTCGTCTACTTTTATGTCCATGAGACTGTTTTGATGTGCTGACAGTGCCAGGATAAAAAGGAAGCCAGTCTAGCTCCTCGCATACGACCTAATGGATTAAAGATAGGGTCAGATATTTGTCATAAAACATATTTGTCAAGCGGTAATAACCAAAAAAAAAATCATGCAGCTAACCTCAACATAGAGCTGATAAGAACTTATTGATGATAGTTGGGGGTAGTACAATACGCTGCCACCTATAAGATACCTACAAGAAAAGGACATGGAATTAAATTCACAAATAAATCATAGGAACGGACCTATCATAATAGAGGAGAAGGTTAATGTATTCAATGATACCTAATGAAGCTTTCAATGGGATCATCTATAACATCATATCCATTTGCATATAAAAAACCCTGTGTATTTCTGCCTAAGGCAATAAAGAATCCAAAAATGGTCAAATCCCTTTCCAATACCTGCAAGGAATTAGTACAACTTTCAATGAACCTTGACCAAAATAAAATGCGATATGTAGATGTTCTCTAGCATAAATTATTTTTCTTCCTCCAATTATCATAATTTCACATTTTATCCATCATATTCTAAAAGGATGTGGGAACCAAACCATCTTGTCAACAAATTCATCCCCGAGATACAAACTCATTAGATTATTTTATAACCTTTGGCCAGGATGCTAAGTTCAGGAGATGAAAAAGAAACAGGGTGTCTCAAAAAGCAACAAATCATAAACTGTCACTCCAAACCTCAATGCTTTCAGATGTTGTTAGCCTCGACCATATTTTCTCTCTATCTATAGCTCTCAGCAGCTGCTTCTGTACAAGATCAACCCAGAAAATAACCTCCTCTGAATCTTGATCATTTTCCACTCTGCATGCTGCAGCTCGGGGACCAAAATGGACAAGAAATTCTCTGTGTAGCCCACTGTCCTTTATAGATTGATAAACTTGGTGAATTGGAACAAAATCAACCAGCATATCCATAAGTCTACCAGTTAAGTCCGGAATTGTGGAAAAGAACTGGGAACAGGAAATTTTAGCAGAACCAAGTTTTGTGATTGCAGCAACACAAGTCAGGGAAAGCATGAGAAGAGCTCTGTCACTTGCAGTTCCTGCAGATGACAACTTGCCTTTCCAGCACCTAGGAGCAGACTAAAAGAGTCAGAATATTACCACAAGCTTCACTGCTATCAAGCGCTTCATAAGAGGCCCACATGAAGAAGCAAGAGGTGATTACTTACAAATCTGTGGCAGCAGTGAATTGAAGGTCTCCTTCAAAATAATTTACAAAAGAGGTCACCACAGCTGGAACTTGCTCATTCCGGAACCAGTCATATGCTTCAGGTTGCTTGGCTGATAGTTTCTCCCTGATTAAGCCCTCTAAGGGGGCAGATTGACTCAATAAACTGCATCAACATGATTATTAGAGGATGCTAGAAATGCTTAATGAAAAGAGAAGTAATATAAACAGTTTTCCAGAGAACTAACTGATTAGAGTTATTAGAAACACATAAATGAGCATATTGAAAACAGAGTTTTCTTATGAAAATAGAGAATGACAGAGAAAGTGTAAGCCTCTTTCAGCAAACTTGATAGAACGGAATTTCAAAATTACAACTATAACATAATCTGCCTCCATCACCGAAGCAAAATAAAATACCCATTAACTACCAAGCATTATCTACTGCACATTTCACAGCACAAAATGATTTCCTTTAGGTATTTTGTTCTGCAGAAATAACAGGTTACTATATAACAACTAGAGGAGAGCAACCATAATATCTAAAATCATTAAGGTCCCATTGTGACATTGATATTTATAACTTGTAAAGCCAATTGTAACATGGACCATATTCAAGATGGGAAAAGATTTCAAATTTCTTTACTGCAAAATAATCCGAAAAGCATTTACACAAATTGATGCTACTTTTTTTATAGAAGAATAGGCCTCATTAAAAAAAAACCTTCGTACCCTCCATGTTACGTTAGTAACATGTAGAACATTGAAGGAGGAAAAGAGTACCTATGACTTTTATAAATCTGAACAATAATACACTGCCAGACCCTAACATCCTGCTGAAACACCATAACAGAAATTACAAAAGACTGAAAACAGAACTCCCTACATAAATGTAAACATTCCTACACCTCAACACAGCCAACACAAGGCAAATAATCAACCTATCTCATCTTTAGCTAATTTGTCAGCTTCCCAGTTGGCAGCCCTCAAGATATGCCTTAAAGTAATATCCTTCCCTGCCATAATAGAGATTATATCCTTCACCAAGGATTGGAACATAGGGGTGCCTAAACCCAGATTTTTGATCCACTTCAGAGCATTACTTGAATCCGATTCAAGAATAATCCTCTGATTAAGAACAGAACCTGATTCTTCCAGAAGATACAACCCCCTCTTAATCGCCATTAATTCTGCCAGGTTAGGAGTCCACCCCCAACTCTTTCTGAGAACCACTGAAGCAACATACCACTGTTGTTCCTAATCAGACCACCTATACCTCCTTTATCCCAACCTTTCACCATCGCTCTATCAACATTAAACTTTATGAACCTATCCGGAGGAGGAACCCAGCAAGTTGGTTGAGAGCAACCCTTTTTCTGTCTACCCACATAATCAACAAGTTTTAAATCACCCACAAGGGAGTCTAAAGGGATATGCACACATTGAATCTAGCAACAAACCAAGAAGCTATTCTAAATCGAAACTTTCCTTTCTCAAAAATAACCTCGTTCCTACATTTCCTCACTGTCCACGTCACCGCCCTTGGAATAAATTTCCAAATCATGGAATTCGAAAAGTAGATCATCCCACAAAATGAAGAAATCAATGACGTTCTTTGGAATCACCAAAGACACATTCCAAATATTCAAAAATCTATACCATAGGCCCCATACTACCTCACAATGCAAAAAAAGATGTGAAACTGATTCCACCTCCCTACCACACAGTGGACATAAGGGATCATCAATCCCAATCACACCTCGCTTCAACAATTCGTCCCTAACCGCCACTATCTGATGAACATTTAAATGTACATAAGTACGTTTATATAAACTTGAACAGGCAACAAAATAGACTATACTTGAACAATATTTGTGAAAAGTAAATACCCATAAGCTACATGAAATATAAAATATATGCAATGCACTACCTTCTTTGGGCAAAAACATTTGTATCCCTGTCTCTACTATCACCTCGAGATGCAATCTCGATAGCAGCTTGGAGTAGGGAATACACAGCAGCCTGAAAAAATGCATGAAATTTTCAGGCTTAAATGATACCTAATAATGAAGCATACATACTTTTTGCATCAAATTAAAGTATTAAACATATTAAAAAAAGCTTAAAGAGTGAATCAAGACCAACCTGATAAGAGAGTGTTTTCACCCATGCATTCCTATCTACACCAATCCAGGCCGTTGAAAACCAAGACAATTTTGATAACGAGCCTTGTTCTTTGATTGATAGCTCAAAAACCCTGGCTGCATCATGTAAAGATTGAACAAGACCATTACTATAATCTTCACCCTCCAGTGATTGGTTAAGCTTGGTCCTTATGCCATCTATGTCTGTACTAGTACTGGTTTGTGAAGTCCCATTGAAAGTTACACCATCTTCAGCTGATGCAAGAGGAAAACGGAGTCCCATCCTTCTTGATTTACCAAAGGCTGAAAAATATTTCCTACAACCCCACTAGCCTGTGATTATCTAATGAAGTCTTCCTTATTAGACATTTCTTCCTCAGATTACCACAATTTGTCAACCTATAACTGGATCTAGCCATTCTTTTGCAAGAAGCATGGGTTCCAAATGAACTCCGCGAAAGACATGGATTTGAAGGCCTGCTAAAACAACAGAACCAGCAAGGCGCAAGTGTCTTCACACAGCATTAATAAAAAGAACACTAAGTGTATCATATAACTTATATCTTGTTAACTACAGATATTCTATAGCAGGCATTTTTTAAATTTCCTTCCATCCTCCTTCTAAAAGGTTTTTAAGTTCTAGTTTAATCCATAAACCAGCAGCCAGATAACTCTTGGTCTTTGAGTCAATTGAATTGGTAAATACATGATCAGTTGAAACTTATTTCTTTAACTTTTTTTAGCAATCCTAAATATAATATTATCAAAAACTTCAAACTTAATACCTCATAAAACATCATCTTAATTCATGTGAAGTGAACCACTAAATTTCAGAAATAAGTCACTTGTTAAAATAATCCATGAAAAACCACAATTAAGTTCCCCCCCCCAAAAAAAATCAGCTTCTTAAAACAGCAATGTGGTCTGGACTTTTTCTCTTCTTTGTATATGTATATCGAGCTGTTTGGCTAGCAAAGGAAACGAAACAGCTCGCCAGAATCGGACATGAAAAATTAGCCTTCATTTAACCATTTTCAGCATCAAATTTTCCAGGGGAAACAGTTTAACAAGTATCATAATTTAATCTTAAACGAAATAATTATAAATAATGAACGTAAATCGTTCAGCCGAAACCAAAAACAAACAATCCGCAAGTGAAAACAATAAGTTAAAGGGGAAACAAAATAAAATAAGGAGAATTCTAAGCACCTCGAAGATACAAAGCTGTGATGATGGAATTTAATCGACATGAACAATTATGAAGGAATCGAAGGGAATGCTTTTAGCGTTTGGATTGCGAGAAAATGTGCAGGGAAAATGGTGGGAAAATGAGGAGTAATTTTTATTTTATTTTTTTGGGAGTAAAAAGAAGAATGAGAGGCGGCTGACGTGCAGTCTTGTGATGGACGTTTATTAATTTATTTTTAATTTTTTATCCGTCGACGTGGAGAAACGGATAATCACAGAAACAGGCATCGCCTTCCGCTTTCTTTCTTGAGAAAATTGAATGGAAAATTTAGACCCAGGAAAAGATTAAAAAATTATTCAAATGGTAATATTTAATTTTATGATAAATTACACGTTTAAAAGTTAAATTATTAATTTTGTTTAATTTTGATATCTAAATTTTATTTATTTTCAGAATCATATCTACATTTAATTTAGGTTTTAATTTAATATTTTATCATTAGAAAATTAACATAATTATTGATGTGATATTTATTAAATTTTACACACCGTATAAAGGCGGGATGACTAAAGTGGAGGGCCGCTACTGGAGTTTTGTGTGAAAAGAAGGTGTCTCTAAAACTTAAGGGAAAATTTTATAGAATGACAATAAGACCAGCGATGTTGTATGGATCAGAATGTTGGGCAACCAAGAAGGATCATGTAAGGAGGATAGAGGCCGCAGAAATGAGAATGCTTCGATGGACATGCGGTAGGACTCTGTGGGATATGACAACAAACTCTGCTATTAGGATGTCTTTGTGGGTAGTGATTGTTTCCGAAAAATTGAGGGAGGGAAGACTACGGTGGTTTGGGCATGTTCTTAGGCGACTACCGTCGGATGCGGTCAGGAGGGTAGAATCGATTACAGTCGACAGTTCCAGAAGGAGAGGAAGACCAAGGCGAAAGTGGGAAGAATGTTTGAGATCTGATTTGATGGATTTAGCCCTTACCGAGGACATGACCTTTGATAGGAAATTATGGAGACTTAAGACTATGGTAGTCGAGTAGTGTGGGTCACATCTCTAGGGTGTATCATCTCTGTCTTCTTTTAATGCCTTTGTAGTAATTTTCATGACTCCTACTTTTTATACGTTTCTGTTATTGGTATTTATGAAGGCTTAGAACTGGGCTTGCTATCGTAGACTATTGTGTATCATTCTCTTCACTTTTAAATTTAGTTGGGTCTTACGTTTCTGTCTATATGCAGAGATTTTTTCGCAGGGGTTTTTTGCAGGGATTACTGCCCATTACAGACGCGCATATGATATTAATAACTGCATATGAATACTGTTCAACTATGTATTTATGTATTTATTTATATATGCATTGCATTTATCTATATTTTTAATTTTCTGACTGCCGGAGGTCTTCCACGGAAATACTCAACCTGGCGTTGGAGGCAGCCTACTACCCTACCTCCCCCTTACCCCATTGCATATGGGAATTGGTTGTGTTGTTGTTGTGTTGTTGTCAACCTTATCGTTAAGTTTTTAAAGCGAGGTACCAAAATGAAACATAAGCGAAACGTTAGTCATGATTTTTAAGAAAATGAAGTTCGAGTGTAAAAATATAACAAAAGTGACAGTTTAGATATTAAACTTGTAGTTTACCCTTAGTTTTATGGGTAAAGTGCATGTTTATTACCTAAACTATTATTTTTGTTCTATTTTGACACTCAAGCTTTATTTTTTTTAAATCATACTTAACATTTAGTTTAAATTTTAATTTAATACATGTCATTAAAAATTAACAAAATTACTGACGTGACATTTTTTATTTATTTTCAGTAATGATGTGATATTATTGATGATATGTCAATATTATCATAAAGTTTTTAATGATGAGTATCAAAATTAAATTTAAACTAAACACTAAATGTGATTAAAAATATCATAACAAATAGTTATTTTTTAAAAAATTAAAAATTTTATATTTTTTTAATTTTTAGTTTAACTAAAATATTAGTGTTTATTTTTCTTATGAAATTCGGTGTTTTATGTTTCATTTCGTTAAATTGAATTGTCAATGTCTGTTAAAATAATATGTTATCCAATTAATATTTAACGCATGATTTAATTTTTCTTTATTTTAGAAAAATAAAAATACATTATTTTTATATTTCTTTTATTCTATTCGTATATCGTTCCTGACTTTTTTCGTCTTTTCAAACCTTATGTTGATATTGTTAATCATACTAATATTCGATCAAAATGTCATCATCAAACCTTCCTGCACCTTTCCCCCCACCCCCCACAATCATCTCCAACCCCTCTCCATCGTCATTCTTCTTCTTCCTTTAAATCTTTAATATTAGTTATAAATCACAAATTAGAAGATTTTCAAACAAATTATTTTTTATTGAATTTAAGATTATAATGTTTAATTTAAAGAATTATATGAATATATATTTAACAAAAAAATTATTGCTAATAAGTTAAATGTTCGTTATTAAATAAAAAATATTTACATAAAAATTTAAAGGAACAAAAATGCTTAGATAATATTGTGGGAGAAGAAAGTTTCTCACGTTATGCTCCCGCAAATTATTTGCAGAAATTCTATAATTGTTGGTGCTTGAACTCTAAATATCTAATAATTATTTTTTTTTTAATCATTGAAGTAATTTAGTTGGTGTAAGTTAAATCAATTTTTAATTTACCGATGAATTGCTATTTTTAATATATTTTTGTGGTGTTTTTTTTTATAGAAAGTTATTAGTTTTATTAAAAATCGAAAATATCTAGAATTACAATGAAGATTTACAAGTATAATCGTAAACATAAACTAAATTATAAGAGAAAATAACTTCAGTGACCGAAAATACCTTATAATATACGATTTTAACCAACTTTTTTTGGATTTACGAAAATGATCAACAAATTTACAACGCGAACTTCAATTTTGCAACTCAGTTTCCAAATTCGCAACACAGAAGTCAAATTCGCAAAACGCGTTTATTTTCGCAACGCGAATTTTATTTTCGAATTCGAAGCACAATATTTATTTCGCAACACAAATGTAAACAGTATAATTGCAAATCATAACCTAAAACCCTAAATCACAACTCAGTCCCATCTTCATCTCTCACTCTCTACGGCGACATACGTCCCCATCTCCGACGAAATCCATCCCCATCTCTGGCGAAATCCGTCTATCTCCATCTCTCAGAGCCACCCTCACAACCATTCACGGTCAAAATGGAAAATCAACCACCGAGGGTTAGTTTTTTTAATTATTTTTATTTTGAATTTTTTGTATTATTATTAGATTTTTCATATTTAAATTGATGATAAATTTACTGGTAATTTTAGTAATAGATTAGCCATTTCACTTAGATTGCTTAGTAAATTCATTCGGTTGCTGCCAATACTACTAAACTGTTTAGTCTTTAACCCTATGAAGTTAGTATTTGTCTTTGTTTTGTCTTTTGGTTGAAGTATTGCAATTCATTCAAGTTTCAATTTGCATAAGACTATTTGAAACTTAAATTCGCAACACAAAAATGAAAACCGCAACGCGATTTTAGTTTCGCGTTGCGATTTTAAGTTTCAGAAACTATTCTTCTTCTGCAAATTGAAACTTGAATGAATTGCATTACTTCAACCAAAAAACAAAGACAGACAAATACTAACTTCACAGTGTTGCAAATTTAAGTTTCAAGAATAAACTACTACTCTTTATGTTGTCCTTGAACCTGCACTAAACCTATATGTTGTCATTTTAAATGTTTATATAAGTGCTTATTTCTGGAATAATAACTGATGTATTTTGTGAACTATGATAGAATAATGACTTGGGTGAATACAGTGCAAGTTTGAAACATATTTGGCTTTGTTTTCACTGTTTAATATTATGTCTGTTTATAGCGTATAATTTGTAGTTTTTGGTATATCTAACTTGGTATGTTTATTGTTTTCGTAGAATTTTTTTTGGCTTCATTGACCTTAAGGAATAAATTAAGCCTAGCCACTATAATTGCGTCGACGCTTACACCTGTACAAAGAAAATTATTTGAGGATACTTGCTTCGGGCCACAGCTGAAAGTACAACATCCGGGTGGAGATGCTATGTTGACCCATTTGTTTCTTCAGACCATGACTAACGATATACCCGAGAGGATACAACGTGGTGATGAAGAGATATGGTTTCATTTTCCTCCGGCGTATACTTGTTTTGGGCGGGAGGAGTTTTGCTTAATCATTGGTCTATGCTTCGGACACGATGATGTAGGTCGGTACACTAGTCATATCACCCGCCCATCATGGTTATCTCAGGTTTTTCCTGAGCTAGCAAAGACGAAGCCGAGTTTGCACATCGACGACTTGAAAAGATTATTTGTTAAAGATGGTTTTACTCAGATGGATGACCTTGATATTGTCCGAGTATGTCATTTATTACTTTTGCATGCCAGATTTTTAGGCAAAGAGGCGAGACAACCTATTTCTGAGGACCTAATATTATTGGTAGAGGACTAAATGCATGAAACATGTTTCCGTGGGGTTATATCTATGGAAACCTACCTGGAAAAAGTTGTCGTATGCCTTTGAGGACCGAAAAAGTTTGCCTGGCCATGGTTCCAAATACACTTTGGCAGGCTTTATTTGGGCCTTTAAGGTAAGAATTTCTATATAATATTTCCAAAATTATAATTAATTATTTAACAATTACTAATGTTTGTGTATTATATTGTTTGTAGATTTGGATATTTGAGGTTTTTCCTAGCATGCAGACATATGCAATCAAAAATTCAAATGATATTCTAGGGCTATTTCCTGGAGGAGGATCCAGTTGTTGGATTGGGAAGTGATACTACCATATACGACGATGAATGATGTAAGTTAACACAAATACTACCATATATAAACAAGTTATTACTAGTAGATGTTTAAATTTGTTTGAGCTTTTATATTGTTAGGAGACCAACTATCCATTACAGAGGCTGACACCCACAGAGGCTGAGCTTGCCACTGATTTGCGGCAAGCTAGTAAGCATTTTTTGATGGCACAGATGATGAGCAGGCCCCACTTCGAGAGCCATGACCTTACCCAGAGCCACCACCTGATCGAGTCGATTATACACCTCCACAACGAGAGTCATCACCTATTCAATCACATCATCGAGCCTCTTCTCCACCATCACCTCATGATAGGTGACCGGCAAAGAT